ACGACTTTTCGTATATGTCGTAAAATGCGTACATTCGGTTACCGCATCCGAGATATAAAGGCCTTATGCGCACTATATGCAATTTATAACGACGGGAGCGCACATCGGATGTGTATATATATATATATTTATATATTTTATATGGAAAATATAATATAAAAATATGAGCTTCCTTTCCAGCCGTCGATGCAATGTTTATTGCCTGGCAAACATTCGAGCTTTCGCATGTTTCTAGAAACCATATAATATTATATAGCTCTCGCACACATATATCCAGACTGTATACTCATCATTCATACTTATTCTCATCGATATAAAATTTATGAAACCTCTCGCGCTTTGTTAGAAAAATATTTTCCTTTTTAATATTCATTGCGTTATTTTGCAGAGAGGAGGAAGCTAGATGCGCGCGCGACGACTTTAAATTCGTCGCTGGAGATCTCTTTTTCGAACTCCGCATCGACGCGCGATGTATTTTCCCGAATATTTTCCGACATGTCCCTTGATATAGCGAGGCGTCTTTGTTACGGTCGACGGTGGCGGCGGAGAGGTTTCGAGCGCAGCTTCGGGCTGTTTTTCCGGTCGAGATTTCGTAGGCCGAGCTGCATATCCTCGAAGGAAGGATTTCGTTGTTTGCACGCACGACAATGGCCTGCCTCTCGGCCGCCACTCGGAGGCCCCTTTTCGTATCCTCCTTGGTACCGACTTAGAACGGCGAGCTTGTCGTAAGCTCGCTCGAGGCCTTCTTTCGCCTCGACGAGAAAGCCCAAAGAGAGATTGTACCTTCGAGGCTTCGCCGTTCCATTCTTGCGAGATACGTTGAAAGCTATGTAAATGTAAATTAGGTGGTCTTCTCATGGGCGCGGCTCCCTCTCCCCCTCCCCACCTCCCTTCTCTTTCCCATTCATGTTTACGTCACGCTATTGCCTTTCAGTCGAGATTTTCCTTGAAGATGTATCTACTATCTAATCTCGCGCGATCTCTGAACTCGTCCTTGGACCTCTCTGTCCACCTTACTTCGATTTTTTTGATATATACAATTTTTGATATTTTATTTAGATATAAAATGAACGACTCAATGTGTGATTAGACTCAATAATCAGAAATATATGAAATTAGATAATCGGTGAACCTCGAATCTATATGTGCGACTGTACCGGTTCATTTACCCCAAATGTACGTCAATAGCATGCGAAAGGGTAATTTTGCAAGCGCTCTATACAACCCTCATCGCAAGAGCAACCCTTTCTACTGTCGGCTTAAGTCTACAATTTCGCTGTGTATCCTCCCCTCCCTCCTAGCGTTGTAGATTACTTAACCCTACGTTTCGCGCATGATCGATGACTCTCGCCATCGGAATTGACAAGTGCTCGTCCGGTTGACACACGGTCGATCGGCGAGCACGTTATTAAACCACCGTTCGCGTACGGACGCAATCCTAATACCGGCAGAGTACACAATTTGCCGTGCGCAAATAGACCCTGTAGATCAGTCTGGTGAATCACCGACTATATTGCCGATAATAATGCGATCGCAAATTAGACTGACTTTTATTCAACTGGATCCCGGCAATTATATCTGACTGTGGCACGTTCATTACCGTAATGAACGTACGTTTATACGGTTCCTGCATCGAGCAAAAAATATTTCCCTGATACAATATATCGCGATAAATGTATGGAGTAATGCACCGATGGTATTTTAAAGTTGAATTTAAAACATCCTCAAATTAAGGATGTATGTGTCAAAACATTGACAAAAGCATGAAAATTTCGTAGACTGTTCTATTATTTTTTTTTTTTTTGAGTGTCTATGTAAAACAGCACAATTTTTTTAACCAACAAAATAAAAATTTTTACATATATTAAGAAAACTCTAATAAATATTTATGCAAAAATTGATTTAGATCCACTCGTTTAAAAGTTAATTTACTAAAAATTGTAGAAAAATATTATCTTTCTCTCTCTCTCTTTCTACAAATTACTTGTTTTTTTTTGTTTCTTGCAGTTGATTTCAGGGGATATTCACAATCAAAAGTTTTTGTCATAAATTAGGAAAAATATTAATTACAACTATTTTCTTTTACGAAAACGTTAAAAACCATATTATTTTGTAATATTTTAATTTTTTTTATAATCCAGATTTATTTATTTGATTTTTCGAACAATATAAATATAAGAAATATGTTTTTTTTTTTAATTTTGATAGTTTTTTGTTATTATTGTACAGTCAAAACATCCTTAATACAATTTGCCGTAATACACAATAATAATACGGATCAGAATTGTCAAATAACATTAGGGTAATCGAATTCTTTATTTTATAATTATTATCGAAAATCCGGTCGTACAATCGATATAAGACATTAAATATGCATCACACATCGACATGTTATTTAAATTGAAAACTTGAGATATGTCAATTTAAAAAAACTAGCGGTTTGATTGACGGGATGTAATAGCCTTGAGTAATTGCACTCTGTGCAATTTATTGATAATAGCGAATAGTGAGTGTAAAATGAATTGGCGTTCATATATATTGGAAGCATTATTTTCTCGCACATCAAATATATGCGCATAGTTTCCCGTATAGGATATTCTCTTCAATGCACAAGCTTTCAAATGCAGAATACGAGGGATAATAATTCATATAAATGGTAATAATTATAAAATGTTTGTAAGTGAATGTGTTTGTACAATAAGTACGGAATTACGTTGTTAAATTCCCGTGATTTTATGAATTCATTTGAAATTACCAGCAACTTGTAGGATAGACAAAGTTCACATTTTTAACTGTTGGCTTTATTCTGCAATTTTATTCTCGACAGCTTAGTTTTTCGAATAATTACTCTGTTCTAAATTTTATCTGGGAATATTACCTTTTTCCTTCTCTCCACTCTCTGCTTATCTATGCAACACGTTATACCTCGTAACTTAACAGCCACTAGCAAATTCAATGGCCGGCTTATCGTAAATTTCTTTGGCCATTGCGCGAAAAATGCCTTGTTACGACTTGCGCGTTTCATATTGTAAGTAAAAAAAGATTTAAAGTCTGCAATATTTTGAAATTATGATATTTCATATTTCATTCATTTGTGTGTGAATGTGCACGATTCACATTGTGTGTTTTATCATCGTACATTATTTAATAATTATATAATAATTATACAATAATTATACAATAATTATACAATAATTATATAATATCAGCTATACTATATCAAAACTGCGAAATTGGCAAAATTAAACTACAGTTTAAAAAAATCAGCATTTGTTTCAACAATTTAGAAAAATTCTCGATTAGAAGAATCCATTTATTAAAAAATGCGATTTATCTTAAGAACATTTTTAAAATTTATGACATAAGGCACATGAATAATCAAATTAAAATTAAGATAATTTAAAAAAATGCATTTATGACTTTATAACATTATAACTTTAATAATTTTGCAATATTTCGCAGTTTTTATACGACTTCTGATATCTTCACGTCATGCAATTACTCATCGAGCGATGATTTTTATCAAATCGACTGTATCTGTTACAGATGAATAATCTTGAAAGCGACAAAACTCGCAATTATTCTGTTATCTATTACAAAAGATTATTTTTCAAAATTGTTAACCATAAGTTAACTTTTTATATAAATTTATAAAATTTACATAAAATAAGATATATGTGTGTCTCATACATATTTTAATCTCTCTCAAGAAAATTTTATTTTATGTCTCTTATAATTTCATCTCTCTTATAAATTAATATCATGTGATAGAGCTAAATTTCATTCTAAATTTTCGTGCATTATACACAACGTTTTTGTGCGGCTCTTGAAAAAGTTAACGTCGCACGAAACAATCGATACCCCCCTATTCGCGTCTTTTTTATTATCTCGGCGCACCAGGATGCAGCTGTTTGTTTTCGGTTTCTTTCGCGTTGATCGCGGGGGTGCAACAAGTGTTACGTTGCTCGTGTCTCGAGGCAAACGAGCGAGATACAGCGCCGCAAATCTACGAATAAATTTCTTGCTCGCCAACCACGTTGCTGTTGCTCGAATTGATATCTACGGTCCGTATTTCAGGATTAACTACTCGACCGCGTGTCATTTTTATTTTGCGTCAAGCTGCGCTTTAAGCCGGTTTTACAAATGCTTCAACATAAAATTCAAAAAAAAGATAAAAAAGAAAAAAGCTGGCGCACACACACACGCATACCACGTGCACGGGTAGTCGCTTTATTAAAAGTACCCGCCATCTCGGGAAACGACGTTATTTGACGTTTACCCGAGCTTTTATAAGCTGCCATTTGACTTTCGCCGCGGTGAAATTACGGTCCCTTTATCATTGCTGCCCGATTCATAAAGAGCGAGAGAACGGAGTTAATGACATGTAAAAGAGAACATTTTTATTATTCTTCGTAATATGAGTAATATTACGGGTAATATGAATCTATATTCTTCATTTTTCTTGCACCTTTAGAGACGTCACAAAAAATTTAAGGGGAGAATTTTTCTTTTTTCAGTAACATTCGAAGCTTGTAAAATTTTGTCAACGTTACATTAATATTATTTGACGTTACGTTGACATTATAAAGTTTGATAAAAACGGGAAAACATGCAAGAGAAATACGCAGATGGCAAAAAAATATAGATAACGATCCCGACAAATTGAGAATCAAAATACATAGTAGCAATACGCAAAATAATACGAAAAAATGTATTTTCACGTTAAATGTACTTTCCTACCGCAGATGTGCAACAATATAAATCACATTCCCCGTGACGTTTCTCGAACAGCATCGATTGGGACTTTTAGTCCGTCGCAATATAAAACTATCTCCGTAAATCAAGCGCACGTCGTCCAACCCCCACGGTTCGCTCGATATCACGCTCGCGACATTTGCATCGTTAGCACGAGTAGATCCGCGCAAAAAAAAAAAGAAAAAAAAGTATCTCTCCCCTCAAGTGGCACGTACTCAACGAACGCAATTTTCTTTTGTTTCCAGGCAGACCTATCCTGCAGGAACACGAAGCAGACCGTGGGCGCGATTTACACGCGTACCAATTTCGTGACGTTGAAATATGTCACCGACGCCTGGGGCACCAACTCAAATGGCTTCCGCCTCGTCATCACGGCCGTCAAAGATCCGAGTGAGTATATGTCGATGCGAACCGTTAACTTATTCGCAAGTCAATCGACTTGCTGACGTCTAGATATGCAGATTAGTATGCGAAGTACTAAGGATGTTTGGCTGTACAATAGTAGTCAAACTGTCAAAACTGTCAAAATTAAAAAAAAAAATATATTTCTTATATTTATACTGTTTGAAAAATCTAATAAATAAATCGGGATTATAAAAAGAATTAAAGTATCACAAAATAATATGATTTTTAATGTCTTCGTAAAAGAAAATAGTTGTAATTAATATTTTTCTTAATTTATGACAAAAACTTTTGATCTGATGCTGGATATCCCCTAAAATCAACTACAAGAAACAAAAAAAAGCGAGTAATTTGCAGCAAGAGAAAGAGAGAAAGATAAAATTTTTAGTAAATAACTTTTAAACGAGTAAGTGGATTTAAGTCAAGTTTTGCATAAATATTTATTAGAGTTTTCTTAATATACGTAAAAATTTTTATGCTAAAATCAACTACAAGAAACAAAAAAAAGCGAGTAATTTGCAGCAAGAGAAAGAGAGAAAGATAAAATTTTTAGTAAATAACTTTTAAACGAGTAAGTGGATTTAAGTCAAGTTTTGCATAAATATTTATTAGAGTTTTCTTAATATACGTGAAAATTTATATTTTGTTGGCAATGTTTTTTTCTTGTCAAATTTGTCAATAACTGCTACAATACACGATTTTCCATAAGAATCAATAGTAACTTTAAACTTCAATAATTTCCAAATCATTAAGAGAATTGTGGTCAGATTTTGCACAGATAGAGAAGAAGAAATAATAGAACAGTCTACAAATTTTTCATGCTTTTGTCAATGTTTTGACATATGACATACATCCTTAAATAATTTCCTTGCAATTTTTCGCAATATTGAGAATACAAGAAATCCTATTATATTTCTGTTACATACTGTTTTGATAATAATACGCATTCTCCGACACTGTAATATGAATCATTAAACCATTCAGAATTAAACGGTATTAACCCCATTGTGTGTGAAAATCGGTATATCAATAAAATTGTGACTAGATTTTTCATGGCGTATAAAAGTTCCACTGTTTAATGTGATCAAATAATTCCCTCCTTTTCATTTTCAACATTTTCACTTTTCAGATTCGCAGCAGCTGAAACTAATCACTGTGAAATTTATCCATTGAAGCGTATACTCTTGATATTTGAGAAACATATTTCCGAGATAGAAATCGTGCTCGTCCCCGAGAATGGAAATGTCGAAGACTTTTCGCTATTCTCATTATTTTTCCTCGCCGTCGCTTTTGCTTCAGTGATTCTTTAATCCGCCTTTTAAATTGTATCGCGGTCTCCGCGACCGACTCGAGAGAGATCCAAGTTTATCATTCAATCGCTTTTATTCATTAGCCCTCAAGCTATTAAATTTGCCTTTCAAATACAGTTTCTTTAAAGCGCCATGTCAATTCCTCCTCGTGTTTGCAATCGTATTCTCTTTGGTGACGTTTAATGCACGATTTCAGAGTGCAGTCGCTTAACCGCACGATGAACCCCAGTTAACATTATAATGTTCTATTCGTGTGATGCTATTCGTACCAACGAATCCGAATATACAATTGAATCAGTCATCCGCAAAACATTACGACTACACACGTCTAACAGCTTTACCAGGTACTGAAAGCATTTATCTCAAATATTGACAGGTTAATGGCTTTGTTTGCATAGTTATTTTTTAGACCATGAATTCAAGAGAGAAAGAGAGAATCATATAAAAAAATTATTTCATAATAAAGATATATTTGCTCACTTTTTCCATAAACAATAATATATTTTTTATTAAAAAAAAAAAAAAAAATCATCGAGCCTGTTTCTATTTTTTTCAAACCTGATCATTCGTCACTAATGCGCTTTTGCAAACTGATTCGATTGAAAGTTTGTTACACATACAAAAAAAAATCGCGAAAAAAAAATCTTTGGCTTTGTCACTGGAGTCGGCTTTGTAAAATCCAAGACAAACAACGCTCGTTAATTGGCTAGTTTAATGAACTATTTTCAGGAGCTCGGCGAAACACGTGTATTCGGAGACCATTTTACATTTTGCAACGTGGCTTTGCGACGCGAGTAAAAAGTTAGTGAGTAAATATTGAACAAAATTTGTAATTGAAATAGGTGGCAACGCGGTAAGTGATGTCGTTATTGACTAATGTTGATTCAAATTTTAAATTTGGCGAGCGAACACTCGCGGGTCGATTCATCGATCATTGTTGCGTGAGATTTTGCGCGACAACAATGAAAGCATAGCAGCGTTTTAAAAACCGAATTTCGATTAGTTCTGACAGATAAATTACAGACAATGTATATCCAAAACATTATCGATAAATAAGGATACATTTTCTTTTAATAATACATACTCGTATTATTTTGTTTAATTAATTCATTATATTGACGATATCATATATACAGGATGTTCCAGGTCAGGTCAATGAAACTTTAGGATCTTATGGGAAATTGAGTTTGGAACAAAAAAATTCCTATAAACATAGATCCAGAAACGCTTCGTTAAAAAGTTATAACTAATAAACTTCGAAAAATCACGTTTTTTTGATGATTCTTAAAAATAACTTCAAAACCCTTCATTCATTCGAAAAAAGTAACAAAATATATCTGATGGGGAATTAAATAACAAACTAAATTACATCAATTTCATTTAATTCTGATAAGATGTTCAAAAGAAAATAAACGCAAAACAACGAAAAAGCAGAAACTTGAAAAAACCACCTTTTGATGGTCTTTGTGTAATCACTATATTTGTAGAGCAAACTTTGCAAATGCAAACATAAAAATGTTCTTATTAAATTTTGATTATACTAATTACTTACAGAGATTTATTAACTACAACTTTTTAACGAACACTCAAAAAAGTGGTATTGCAACTATAGCAAAAATTTTCTGGGTGCGCAAAATTAACTGAGGTACATAAAATTAGCAACATTTTTTTTTGAGTGAAGCGTTTCCGGACTTATGTTTATAGGAACTTTTTTATTCCAACTTCAATTCTCTATAAGTCCCTAAAGTTTCATTGACCTGGAATACCCTGTATATAGCTACCTGCTGCTTTTGTATTATATTTCAAACATACATCGGTGTGCGACATGCGTGTATCATAGATGCCGATCACGATTCACGCATCCATGGCATCTGGCGTGTTAATGAAGCGCGATCTCTCGGTCGTTCGCACGCCCAACAATTTTTCATTTTACGGGGTACAATATTAGGTGCGAGAATCGTGTCGGCTCGCAACGGCGATAAATGTACGCCGCTCTCGTCGACGATTTTGTCAAGCGAAGGACCTTCCCGAAGTCGACGAGAGATCGTTAATAATACGGCGAACATTGAAATGAAGTGCCCCGACATCTCGGCTGTCTAATACCGAGGAAAAAGCGTACCGCTTCCCTCGCTCGTCCGTAATATTTCCATGTAATAAGATACCTCAGAAATGAGCGTCGGCGACAAATGCAACCGCTATAACTTTTATATCTTCACGCCGGAATATTTTCATGAAAACGCACAAATGTGCAACGTCATCTCGCGCTCTCCTAATTAAAGAATACTCGCGCTGAAATACGGCTTTAATACACGGATATTGTATCGCATCGTTACGCGACGATGCGCAACTTGCATTTGACGATATATTTATTTTGACGTTATTGTTACATTCTTGGTTGCTATACATGATATCACGTTTAAATGCAAACAAGATATTATGAATACGGGCACATTGCTGAATTTCCTGTATATTTTTGAAAATATTGGACGATTTAGTTTTTCATATTTAGTTGTATTTACATTGTATGCTGATGGCTTATTTATAGAAATTTAATATTTCATAACATTATGATTATTTAATTTGATAATTATTAAATAAAAGCTACGTATTTTTTTCGACTACATATATACAGCTAGTTTCGATTAAACGATGAGAAAGTGGAGGATAATATTTTGCAATGTTCGCACAAATATCATGAAACAACGCGCGTGTGTGATAATACATATAATAGCGAATACGAAGTAAGCATTAATCTTAAGTACTATGACTTTGCCGACTCACACTCGAGATCCACATTCAAGACGACTTGAGAGTCTCAGCGAAGTAGCTATCCAGTCCCGGGACTCGACAGGTGTCGAACTTTAGCCTCTCCTCTGCCGAACAATTTCCTCAAGTTGTAATCTTCCGGCGGTTATAAGGAGCACTTGAAGGATAATCCGAGAGTTAATATAAGTTAGTTCGGAAACTCTGAATGCAAGGACGAAATCTCAGTCGCGTGCTCGATCATTGTTGTTCTTTGACGGTTATTCTATCAGCATCGCGCGAAGCGTACACATATTTATCCCGAAAGGGTTGTTTGTCAACTGTCTTTACTATGTTAGCAGAAGCAACTTTCCCAATTTCCGCAACGCGCATCGTCTTGCAATTTTTTGCAACAAGTTACAGCGGTAAACGCTTTTGCGAAAGCAACCAGGTGTCTTCCTCCCATGAGAAACGAGAATAGTTATCTCATGCAAAATGCAAACGACTGTTGTCGTCTCATAATTTTCATCTTTGCAAATGTAGATGCACGGAATGATTCGGGGATGTCATCTCACACATCGTCGAGATTTTTAATCTCGAATAACACTGGTCGACAAAATGAGATCTTTGGTTTTGCCTTAAGCTCTGTCAAATATTTTCTGGTAGATTTTTTAGCGCTGATTACAAACCTGGTCGTAAAAATGGTGTATTACGTCAAGTTTTCGAGAAAACCTCAGTTAAAGTTAGGCCTTAAAATAGGCGTTTTTGATATTTTTGCGTGAGTTATATTTTTCGATGGGAACATGCCCCAGAAGGTAGCGACAGCTCAAAATGAAGCTGAAGACTTATACTTTATAACAAAAATACCAAAAGTCCCAGGCAAGAAAAATTTTCCTGAAAAAAATGTGGTCGAAACATAAGAAACATTATTTATCG